CTATGTCCCTCAAAAAGATTTGTTGAAGTCCTAACTCTGTTTACCTGTGAACATGATCTTGTTTAGAAATAGGGTTAATAGTTAACAGGAGGTCTTACCGACACAAGGTGAGTCTTAATCCCTTCTCAGGGGTATCTTACAAAAGAGAAGAAATATGGAGGCAGAGATAGGTACAGGAAGGACAGTCATGTATCCACTGAGGCAGCCACAAGTCAAGGAACACCAAGGATTGTCAGAAGTCATTAGAAGCTAAGAAAGAGGCATGGAACGATTTCTCTCTGAGAGCCTTCAAAATGGATCAGTACGGTTATGGCGGATACCCCGATTTGGCCTTAGAGTCTCCAACACTTTGATACATTCTGATCATTAATTTCTGATCTTGGAAGTCGCTACTTTGTGGTGATTTGATACAGAAACAAAATATATTGTGTTTTAGTTTAACTCACCTCATCAAAGTAGGTGGGAAAATAATCAGTGAACTAATTTGACCACCAAAAGCTCTAAGAAAACTGGAGAGGCTTGCATCATGAACTTGAGCTTAGGAGAAACCGTTGGCCATATCCCTCTATCAAGGGGAACATGGCCAATTAAATGGGTCTTCTGTCAAGATTCTAAATGGTGTGCTGGGATCAATGGTTTCTTTCTTTTTTTCAATTTGAGGTGAGGGTCAGAAGTGGGGGTCTGTTATGGCTTGCCAAGCATCTTCTACAACAGGAACATGCAGCTAGAGAATTGGGTCGTCGATGCAGTGCTTTTAATGATACTTGAAGAAGACAGTTGCACATGTTCATGTAAGTCACATACTTGAAAATTGCTCCCCAGGTATTCGAAGTAAATATAACCCTCTGACACAGACCTAGCACTGCCAGGTTTGACTCCTTGTCCCTTTGTTCCTTTTCTCCCCACTCGTATCTCTGCTCCAAAGTTTTACACTGACCTGGGAAACTCAGGTCCACGACTAGGAAGATTGAAAAGAAAATTTCTCTTCTTTATGCTACACATTGAGAGAGAGGTTTGACAGTTTTAAGCAGAGATGTTGACTGTATGCTTCATCATCACACCAAAGGGCCTTTGGGTCTGGGCTCCCTTCACTTCAAGTTGGGCAAGGTGATGTGATCAATCAGGGCAGAGAAGGCCCTGCTCACCTCCTCAGCTCCACCATAGAGGCTCGTGTTTCCTGAAGACCTTGGACCTGAAATCAACAAACATGAGAATCTTTCAGAGAAATGTACCCACAGGTTTTCAAACCGATCTTTACAGCACTCATTCCCCCTTAGTTCCTGATGACAGTACTCATTCTTTCAGTCAAGCTAGCAAATAAGATGACTGCTATTTACTGAAAACACTACTGTCAATTCAACTGGCTTATAGGTTCCATTGGGCTGCCATCCACAAGGTCAGCAGTTCAAAACCACTAGCTGCTCTGTGGAAGAAAATTGGGGCTTTCTGCTTTCATAAAGAGTTACAGTCTCAGAAACTCACAGGGCCAGTTCTACCCTGTCCTATAAGGTCTTTCTGAGTCAGTGTCAACTCGGTGGCAGTGAATTTGGTTTTGGCCAGGTTTCTAAAGGGCATTTTCTCTTGCCTCCTACCATAGTTCTGTGTGGCCAGAAGATCACTCTAGAACAGCAATTCCCAAGCTCAACTGTCTAGTAGAATCACCTAAAGGGTCGTTAAAACAGATTGCTGGACCTTTGTTTCCTTCTGTTATCAGCGGGATCTGAAGTTTCCATTTATTTTATTAAACAGTTTTATTAGCCTGTAATTCCCATGTCATATGATTCAATAGTTCAATCATATGGTTTGCATATCTAACAAGTTCCCAGGTGACAGGGATGTTGCCAATACTGGATTACACTGAGAACTAATGCTCAGTGTTTACTTGACATGGTTTCAGGGGCCGCCTGTGATCTGTTGTAATAGGGACCGTAGGTAGTATAGAATGATCTACATTTTGGTGTTTATCAACCCAAAGTGTGATAGTCATAATTTCTAACCTAAGAGTTCTTTCCTAGGACTTGATCCTAAAGAACATATTTGCATGTGAGTACAAAGAAAGATGTTATAAGGATACTATTCAGCACGAGAAGCAACAAACTCCACATGGAAAAAGTATATCAGCCTGTGTGATCATGAGGTGTCAATAGGATCAGCTATCAGGCATCAAAGATCCAGAACAAAAAATCATATCATTGAGAATGAGGGGGAGTGCAGAGTGGTGACCCAAAGCCCATCTGTAGACAATTGGACATCCCCTTACAGAAGGGTCACAAGGAACAGATGAGCTAGTCAGGGTGCAGTTTAGCACTGATGAAACATACAACTTTCCTCTAGTTCAGTAGTTCTCAACCTGTGGGTCATGACCCTTTTGGGGGTCGAACGACCCTTTCACCAGGGTTGCCCAAGACCATCAGAAAACACATTTCTGATGGTCTTAGGAACTAACACACCACTCCTCTCTCCACCTCCAGGCGGGTCTGCCCACCTGCAGTTATGCCCACCTATGAGTACCCAACGTGAAGATTGTTACCCATGCTACACCATGCTTCAAGACAAAATTTCATTTATTTTTCCTTAAAAATAAATATTTCATACTATATAATTACATATTGTTTTTGTGATCAATCACTATGCTTTCAGTATGTACAATTTGTAACAATGAAAATACATCCTGCATATCAGATATTTAATGACAATTCATAACAGTAGCAAAATTACAGTTATGAAGTAGCAACGAAAATATGGTTGGGAGTCACCACAACATGAGGAGCTGTATTAAAGGGTCGTGGCATTAGGAGGGTTGATAAGCACTGCTGCAGTTCTTTAATGCTTCCTCTCCCCACCCCACTCCCACTATCATGACCCGATTCTATCTTACATATCCAGCTAGACCAGAGTATGTACATGGGTACAGATAAGAGCTGGAAATACAGGGAATCCAGGACAGATAAACCCCTCAAGACCAATATTGAGAGTAGTCATACCAGGAGGGTAAGGGGAAGGTGGGGGGAGAAAGGGGGAACTGATCACAATGATCTACCTGTAACCCTCTCCCAGGGGGACAGACAATAGAAAAGTGGGTGAAGGGAGACATTGGTCAGTGTAAGACATGAAATAATAATAATAATTTATACATTTTCAAGAGTTCATGAGGGAGGGAGGGAGGGTGGCGGAGGGAGGGGGGAAAATGAGGAGCTGATTTCAAGGGCTCAAGTGGAAAGAAAATGTTTTGAGAATGATGATGGCAACAAATGTGCAAATGTGCTTGACACAGTGTATGTATGTATGGATTGTGATAAGAGTTGTATGAGCCCCCAATAAAATGATTTAAAACAATAATAATAATTAAAAAATTTTTAAAAGGGTCACTCAGCACAGCGTTTTGTGATAACAAAAATAAAGGAACAACTTATTCACATAATAATAGGTACATGTCAGTACATATATACCCTGGGATATCATGTAGCATTTGAAACGTAACACAGCTCTGTGTCTAAAGTCTGTTTCTATGTGAAGAAAAGGAAAATCATGGCATGGCCTAGCATATGTTGAAAGGGTAAAGGCATCCCAACGGGCCTAGAAAAAGTTCCAAAGAAAACTCAATGAACTGTGGACAGTGGTGCCAGCTGGGCAAATGATGAAAGGAGGGGTGGCGAGGTGATGATGTACTAAATGTGAAAAATCTGTGAGCTCCTGCCTTTTTAATTTTATAATGAATGTGTAGTGTTATGCTTTTGTGTTATTAAAAATAGAAAGGGTAATTTCGGTCGTTATCTCTTTTTCATTATATGATGTATGTTTTGTCTCCATCTGTGCTGTTTCCTATTGAACGTAAAAAGGAAAAAGTCATGCCTTCTCCCATTTACCCCCAGGACTACAAGGGGATGGAATAAGTAATCATTTTACCACCTAACTAAAACACCTTTTCCACGGGCAAACTTATTTTAGGATATTCTGATGCTCAGCCCACAGTGATAAAAGCCTAAAACGCATTGGGAAATGATAATCCATTTTATATTTGGGAGTTCTTTTTGGTTTACTTTGTAAACTCCAGTCTCTTGAAACGTAGGAAATCGCCAGAGGTGTACATCTACTACCTACCATGTTGCTTAGCATGCAGCTAGAATCCAATCTAATTAGTTAGAACATAGGAGGAGGCCTAAAGTGATGTTAGGGAAAAAATGCCCGTGACATGGGCAATGCAAAAGAAATCACAATGGAAAAATAATTCACTCGAATATCGCCGAAGATAGAAGAGTTCTCTGAATGACTTGGGGATGGGAGAGGAGGACACCGGAATGTTAGATTTGGGCAGTTACAACAGTAGTTTAAAGGGCTGGATCCAGGTGGGCAATAAAGGAGCAGATGAGCCTTCTCATCCCCACCCTAAAGACATCCTCCCTCATCTCCATCCCATAGAAGCCCAGTGATACGTGGGTGAGAAAGAGACACTGGGGAGAACCAAAAGGTATGTGTGTGGGGGGCGGGGGGATTGGGGAGGATGTATTCAAGATAAATTTTACTGACCAGTAGAAGATACTAAATTACAGAGTAAAACCAGAGGCTGTGTCCTCCCTTTCCAACACAGAAGCAAGAACCATTTCAAACCTAGCCCTGTCCTGGAAGTTTAGATCAAATTGTTTCCTTCTGATTTTCAATCCAACACGTGGACTTTAAAGAACTTTGGGGAACTCCTTCTACTCAACTTTGTTTCTTTTCCATTAAGCTCTCAAGGTCTCTTGAAATCCTAGTATCTTAGATCTCAATACTGCATCACTCTAATCAGTACATGTCCACAGCTGTCCAAAGCTGACCATCAGATGCTGGTTTCGTCAAAATAAGCTTTTAAGTCATGCAAAGTTCATCTTAATGTCCAGCATCAGCTGCCTCCTTCACATAGCTGAAACCCAAAGAGGCCATCGGCTTCTAGGACAATCACCACACTGGGGGAATGCATAGGCATTCTGTCTGAGTGAATCTTAGCATGTTACAAGTAGTGGATTTTTCTAATGTGCTGAACATTCTTAGCATTAAACCAGAAGTGAAATCAACTTGTAGCAGTGAAACAAGGAGCTCTTATGGTGCATTATTAATAATCCACTACACACTGAAAGGCCAGGGGTTTTAAGTAGCCCTTCGGCAGTTCGACTCTGTAGGGTTGCAATGAGTTGGAAGCAACTCAGAGGCACACACAGTAGCAGAAAATGATCGGACTCCCTGCTGTGATTTGATGGATCAGTGACAGGGACAGAAATACAATGAAGCCAACTGCTACCATCATTGAGTTGATTTCGCTCTTCAATTCTTCATCACCATGCTTATTGTAAATAGGAGTGTATTATGGAACGGACTTCTAAAATACACATTGACAATGGCCAGGTAAAGAGCATCATTATCAAGGCAACATTGAGTGAGGACACAATCTGAATTAGAAATATCTGTCTGAGCAACAGTGTTTTAAAATATCAACGGTAGCCATGAAAATTAGCATAAGTCCTTATACTTAAAGTCATTAATAGAAATTCCATCAATTGCAATTTGTTACTATTGTATAGAATACTACAGTATAGTATAGAATACTATAGTGAGTGGTTTTCAACCTTTCTAATGCTGCGACCCTTTAATACAGTTCCTCATGTTGTGGGGACCCCCCAACCATAACATTATATTCATTGCTACTTCATACCTGTAACTTTAGTACTGCTATGAATTGGGTCACTCCTGTGAACAGGTCATTCGACCCCCAAAGGGGTCGCGACCCACAGGTTGAGAACCACTGGTCTAATCCCACCTGAATTTTGAGAACATCTCGAACACTAGTGACAGAAGAACTGATGAGCTATGGGAGGACATCAAGACCACCATTCATGAAGAAAGCAAAAGGTCATTAAAAATACAGGGAATAAAATGGGTATTAGAAGGTCCCAAATAGAATGTGGGGAAAATGTGGTATGGAACTCAAGACCAAAATCATAAATGAGACCAGGGTTACTGGTTGGATAATGATTGGTGGGACCCCAAGTTCTAGACCAGCAGTTCTCAACCTGTGGTTGCAACCCTTTTGGGGTCAAACAACCCTTTCACAGGGGTTGCAACCCTTTTGGGGTCAAACAACCCTTTCACAGGGGTTGCCCAATTCATAACAGTAGCAAAAACAGTAGCAAAAAGTTATGAAGTAGCAACGAAATTAATTTTATTGTTGGGGGGGGGTTCACCACGACATGAGGAAATGTATTAAAGAGTCGTGGCATGAGGAAGGTTGAGAAACACTGCTATAGAGGAATACTATCTTCCCCTTCACCCAAATTAACAACTGTTAACCCTCTAATGGCCAGTCTAGCCTAGAGCTTCAGCTCCCCTCTCTTGCCCTCCTTGCATTGGTAACCATCAAAGTCTGCTTCTTTTGGTATGAAAGTCTTTATCTTAATTTTATTACAGTAGTCTCATACAGTATTTATCCTTTTGTGATTGGCTAGTTTCACTCAAAATAATGTTCTCCAAGTTAAAAAAAAAAAAAGAATACCATAGTAACAAACTAAGAAAATTATTCTAGTATTATCACCTTGTTTGTATGGTCACGATGCATGCTTCATGCAGAAGCATCACAAAGGTCTACTGAGATCGCAAGAGATGGATTTTTGAGGCATATATATATATATATATATATATATATATTATATTTTCCATAAGACTGGATATCATTGATTTTATCTTTTTACATTATTTCACCCTCTGGATTTAGAAATAAACTTTACCATTTCATGGTTTTCTTTTAGTCATACAATGGTGTGTTTGTATACAGCTGAAATTGAAATAGATTTTCAGATACAGCGCTTGATAAAGTCACTTATAATCTGCATGGATATTTTTGCTTTAGGCACCAAACTGCCTAAGTGTTGGGATAGCTGTCTTCCAAGTGCGTCTAGCTGCCCTAATCTTGGAGAAATCTAAAATGTGCAACATGACCAACCACAATTTGAGGGCCGAGCAACATTTCAGTGGTCAGCACCTTTTAAAAGTTCATTTGGAGAAACAAAACAACAAATAAATAAAATCAGATGACGATGTCAAAGACCTGAAAATTTTTCTATAAATTCCAATTTTTATGTGAAAACTTCCTTCAAAAGGTCAAGAGGATGCTGACAGTGCTTTTAATACTCAGCATGACTCCCAGGATGTCCGAGTGGAAATACAGTGGGCAGACTCTCATGTCAGCCTAAGCATCAGGCACAAGGAGTTCCATCCTGTCTTTGTCTCAGCCTTAGCATGCTTCTAGCATCTTCGTGACATTGTTTCCTCTAGTCCAAAAAGTACAACTCCAACTCCACGCACAGTGAAGTTCTTAACCATCACCAATTAACGATTTCGTTGACTTGGCTGACAGCCCATTCACAGTCCACGACTCAAAAATAGTTTGAGAAGCCCTCCTCTAACACAGATGCACAGGACAATGCTGTCTTTTGTGGTTCTACAGCAAGTCATGAAATGACGATGCAACAGAAAACATTTTAGGCTGTCTTAAAGAAAACAAATGGATTCAGATCTCACTGCCATTCAGTTGATGCCGACTCATAGCAATGGATCTAGATATACAACAATGAAAAGTCGGATAATGTCACTCCACATCAGAAGAGAGAGTTATAGTCAAGAAGGATCAAAAAGAAACCGAAGCCAACAACCCACCTGTAGAACTTAGCCATGAGCCATCGATGACAAAGAAGACCGTGATAATGATAGCAGTGTCTGTAGCTTGTTGCAGGCCCTAGAGCTAATTCTGATTCATTGCGACGCTATAAGACCAAGTAGAACGGCCCCAGGAGGTTGCCTAGACACAAGTCAGAACTGACTTGATGACAATTAGTGTGGTTGGTTGGTTTTTAATCTTTACCACCGTGGTCGTACTGTTGGGTGGTGTTGGACTGCTGACCCCAAGATCATCAGTCCCATACCACCAGCCCCTCCACTGGAGAAAGAGGAGTTTTTCTTCTCCCACAAAGGTTTCCAGCTCTAGATTGTTCTATGAGTTGGCGGGGCCGGAGTAATCTTCACAGGAGCAGATCATGGGGTCTTTTCTCCCACAGAGAGCCCTGTGGGTTTGAACCACTGCCCTCTGACTGGTTAGCAACCAAATTTCCACCATTGTGCTCCCGGCGGGGGTGGTGGAGGATGGCGGTGGTGGAGAACGTACTCAATTCTCTTCTAGAAAGAGAATACTAATAATATTTCCATATTTAAATAGTATCATCAGGCTTCCCCGTTATATATGATTAGGCCTGCTGATGATAACAAATTGCAATACCAAAATAATAAGCACTTCTTAGAGGTTGATTATGTTTTTGGATGACACAAACGGTTCAGCGCTTAACAACCTGCTGAAAGGTGGACCGTCTGAACTCCCCAGGGATGCCTTGCAGTTTGCGTCCAATGGGTCACAGCCTTGACAATCCTGTATAGCAGTGTTTCTTGGCATTGGAATCAACCCCCTGGCAGCCACCATCAAAACAACTACGTGCCACGTGCCCCCTATAGTCTTATGTCATTTATCACTTCCAGTGTGGACAATAACTCCCTTACATGGCTTACTACTTGTAATGTTCACAATAACTTGGTGGATTAGGCAATTCTAGGCTATAGAGAGACACATTCAAAATTACTATTGACATCCAAAAGATTCAGAATTCTTACCGTTGCTCACTAGATGAGTCATAGCTCTTGAGACTAACCCAACATTTTTGTGAAATCCTTGTGAAATCCAGACAGCCTTCATTCCTGGCCCGCCCTGCTTCTGCTGACTATGCAAACCTTACCTGATGGCATTTCAAGAGTGAAGGCATCCATACATCTTGACAGCAGTTCTTCTTCCTCCAGCTCATCCTTTCTCTCCTCAATATTAGTGGTCGCTTTCCTTTCAGCCGATGCCCGGCCAGAACTGCTGATTTCAGCAGGGACAAACTGGGGGGTGTCCTCCAGCACTCCCTCCTGAGCACTGAGCAGGGTTTCCTTCAGCATCTTTGGGGATTGGCTCTGTGCCGCACTGTTTTGCACTGACCTCTGCTTCAAAGTGGCTTTGGGCGTTTCTGGATTTGGTAGAGCATGCTCCGTAATTGTTTGACATGGGTGACTTCTGCTAAGCACGGTTGGGTTAGGCACAGATTCCCAGTCAGAGCCCTCCTCAGCAATATTCTTGGTCTGAAAGGACTCTCCTTTATTCCAAGACCTTTGAGCCAGAGAATGGTCATTCTTGGAAGTCAAACTTTGATAGGAAGAAGATAAAGCGTGAAGTGGTTGCAACACTGCCTAGATAAAGAAAATGTAATTTATGAAGAAACTCATTTTTATCTTACTTTTAAAACAAAAACATTAAATTGAAATATCCCAATAGAAAATCCCAGTGGAAGATTTTCCTTCTAATTTCTAAGCATTGGCTATTTTATGTTTTGCTTTTTAATTCCAAAGCCAAAAAACAAGGCTCTGGGAATAGATGGACTATCAATTGAAAAGTTTCAAGAAGTTGATGAAGCTCTGGGAGGCCTCAGCCATTGATGCCAGGAAATTTGGAGATGACTACTTGGCTGACTCACTGGGAGAGATTCATATTTGTACCCATTCCAAAGAACGGGCCTGAGCAGCAGGCTCAAATTAAAGAACCACAGCATTGATGTTGTAAATACCACATGCAAGTAAAGTGTTGCTGGAAATCAACCAACAACACTTGTGCCAGTACATTGAGAGGGAGCTGGCCTCGGTTCAGGTTGGAATCAGAAGAGGATGTGGAAAAAGCGATAGCATTGCTGATATTGGATGGATCTTGACTGTAAGCAGGGAATACAAGCAAGATGCTTACTTGTGCTTTATTTACTATGCTAAGGCATTTGACTATGTGGATCATAACAAGCTATGGATAGCCTTGGGAAGAATGGGAATCCTCACAAGGATAAATGGAGAAAAGGATGAAGTTGTCGAGGATTTCATCTTGCTTGGATCCACAATCAATGCTCATGGAAGCATCGCTCAAGAGGGCAAAAGACTAGTTTCATTGGGTAGAATTGCTGCGCAAGACCTTTTTAGAGTACTGAAAAGCAAGGCTATTACTTTGAGGACTAAGGTGCACCTGACCCAAGCCATGGCATTTTCAATCACCTCATGTGCATGTGAACGTTGGACGCTGAAAAAAGAAGACTGTAGAAAATGGACGCATCTGAATTGCGGTGCTGGGGAAGACGATTGAAAGCACCACGGACTGCTGAGAGGGCAAACCAACCTGTGGTGGAAGAAGTACGACCAGAGTACTCCTTAGAGGGAAGAGTGGGGAGACTTCTTATTATGTACTTTGGATCTATTGTCAGGAGAGACTAGTCCCTGGAGAAGGACATCATGTTGGATAAAACAGAGGGGCAATAAAACAGAGGAAGGCCCTCAGGAGGTGGATTGACACTGTGGCTGCAACAATGGGCCCGAGCATCAGAACCAATGTGAGGATGAGCAGGGTGGGATAATGTTCTGTGTTGTTCTGCTTACGTTTCCTATGGGTTGGAATCAACTTGATGACACCTGACAACAACAACAACAACAACAACAAGTTAATGTTATCATCAAACTATTTACAAGAGTTGGAACAGTTCAGATTTACAAAGAACATCAGCAGGGCAATTCTATGTTGAAGCAATTCTATGTTCTAAAAAACCCACGGTCAAGAAATATCACAAGAAATTTAGGGAGATATCAGCATATGTTGAATTGATAGACAAAAATGATTACAACAAAGCATGCCCTTCTGATTTCGATGGGTGGGTACAGTGTGAGGGGCTCCATGATAAGTCTGAGGTGTAATAAAGGAGAGTGCCCAAGTAAAACTCAGCTCTCAAAGGACAGTCCCTAGATCTCTGGGGGTGGGCAGGAAGATTCTTTTAGATATCCATGACAACAAAATTATTTTCATAATAATACTTTCATGTGGTTTGCCTTTTCATTGCATTGACGTACGCCCTGATGGGGCCAATGCAACAGTACGGAAAATTGCTCCTGTCTGAGGACAAATCAAAGCAGCATGAGCTTCCTGGTCGCCTTCACTACCACACAACTGCAGCTTAAAGAGGGCCTGTTCCACATGCGATGGAGAAGGAAATTACCCATTGGATTACTAATCACACTGTGTGTGTGTGTGTGTGTGTGTGATTACTAATCACACTTTGTGTGTGTGCATGTAGCACTTCCGATGCACAGGGGAATGTCACCCTTGCCTGGAGGACAAGCACCTGGGTGACAGGATGACTGGCAAGATGGACGCAGGGCTGATGTTTTCACAAAAATGAATGATGTGAGACCGCTGCTGCCAGAAAAACCCTTCCTGGCATTTGTTGCAAATTAGAACCATTGAATCTGCAAGTAAAACCTTAAAGTTTAGAAACTAGGTATCTGCGACCCTACACTGATTAACTTTCCCATTT